GGGGGGCAGAAGGAGCAGCAGCCCCTTTTCACAGGCGGGAAAGACTTCCCCATGGTCACTGGCAGCCTGAGCCTGTCAGAATTCAATTGGGATCGTCAAGGCCCATGAGCCTGGCCTCAGTCCCCACTGTGGTGACGATTTAAGATCTAAACCCAACTGACTGATCCCCCGATACAGGGCCAAGGTGGCATGAGAGCAGGAAATTCACAGTCTGCGGCATCACCCCCCTGCCGAGCACATTCCCTCGCCACCCGTGTTCCGCAGCTGTTGTGCAGTTTTCGCATCCAAGTGCGCGGTTTTACAAGCAAAACAGGAAGCAGCTCTTAGAAATACGTCTCGCCACGAAGGCTCCGAAGAGGCCAGCGCGAAGGGTGAGCCGCAGAAGCGGCAGGCTCGGCTGTGATCGCGGCGTGGGAGCCAGATCTCCCTTTGGCGACTAGCGGGAGATAAACGAGACAAGTTTAGTGCTGCTTGCCAGCCATTCTGTATTTGGGAACCAAACTGACACATTAAGGGTATTTTAATTGGCCCTTGCTAAATGGTGTCATCTAAAGCTACAATCACCCATCCCCCCAGCTTCTTCAAAGATTAATTAACTCTGATGTTCTGCAGCAATTAAAACATTGGTCGCCAGACACCATCAGTTGGTCCTTGTCAGTCACCATATGGGACAGACGTGCCAGGTGCTGGCTGCAAATCCTGCGCTCGATGGGACTGTCCGTGGGCTCATTCTGGGTCCTTGCGGAGTGTGAGCGCGGGGAGAGTTACTGCCGTCTTGTTGGCTTGGACAGGGCAGGCACAGAGGACGAGGCTGCGGTAAGCCCTTATTAACATTCTGTCAATGCAGCCGCAGGATTCAACTCGCCTCTCGGAAGCCTGCGATTTTCCTGCAGCCGCATGTGATTACAACACACGAACTTCCAGGGCCCTGGAGGGAGTGTTATTGCCTTACGATTTGCAGAGCAAAACTGATGGACATTTTGAGATCGCCTGCCCGTCTCCCCCGAGCGCACGTGCACACACACAGGAGGGACGCCACGGACTGAGAGTCTGCTCTCAGGATTAAAGGAGGGAGCCCCCACGTCCAATAGTCGGATCTGAAGTCCAGCGACACTGCCCACAGCGTCCCCAGAAGCAAAGTCTCCATCTGGCAAGGGCAGAGGAAGTTCTGCCTGTACTGAACCAGCCGTTCATTCCCGGAGCAGGCTGAGACAGAAGTGACCGTGGTAGCCCAGACGCCATGGCTTTGGGAGTCATTTCGGATCCATCCCAGCGTGGCCCAAACTCCACCTCAGACCACGTAAACGAAGGGCCAGACAAGAGTCGTGGAACGCGACCCGTGGGAAGAAAAAGGGCTCTGGGCTGTTTCTCTGATTGATCTCTGAGGAACCGTAACAACCCAATGGACGTTTCTGGGTTAACAGAAGCTCTGCCAGCAGAGCGGCCTGGCCGAAATCACACTTAAAAGACATCTGCATCCCCGAATGGTGGGTATTTTAGGTAGTTAACACCAGGCAGGTTTCTATTCAAAACTGGCCCAGGCGGCTTAGTGCTGACTTGTGAGCCAATACCCCGGCCTGCGCTCTGTCCTATTTCTCCCATTACTTCCCCGCCCTGGAACCAGAAATTGAAGGAGACCCAGTGAAGTCAGGTGACCCTGCGGGGGGAGGGGAGGAAATCTCTAGACACATGGCAGAACGAAGAGCTAACGAGGTCCCTGGTGGCAACGTTACAAGCAGCAACTTCGCCACGGCCCCCCCCGATCTCTGCACAAACTTGCCCATCTGATTTTCCAACGGGGGGCCCCTCCATGCCATGATGTGGAGCCTGTTTGGACCTGCCCCAACCGCATTCCCTTTGCACCCCCAGGGAACAGTTCTCTGCTTGCCAGGTCGATGTTTAAACACCTCCCAGGGGCTGTTTCTCAGCCTCCCGCCTCTGCTGCGAAGGGGTCTTGCGCTCGGCCCCACTGGCGGGGGGGGGCTGTCACCACTTGAAAAAGACGAGCACCGCCAAGGCCGTGTAGCCCAGCACCAGAGAGAGGACCTTTAGCAGGCGGTCGTTTTTATCCTCCAGCTCCTTCGCCAGGATCTCAAAGAAGGTGACGAACAAGAAAGTGCCCGCGGCGATGCCCTGCAGCAGCACGGAGGCCACGCTGCTGGCCACGTTCTCGGCACTCTCGATGCCCATGCCGATCCCGATGCCCAAGGGAATCATCAAACTCACCGTCAGGGCCAGCTTGGCAGCGTCCTTCAGCGTCAAGCAGATCTTGGCCATGCTGACACCCAGCGCCACAGCCACCAGCGTCTCGTGGATGGCCACGCCCACAAAGAGGCTCATGACTTTGCTGCCCTCCTCCTGGAGGCCCAGGGCTAGGCCCTCAAAGATGGAGTGGGCAGACAAGGCGAACACCAGGCTGAAGAGCCGCCAGGGGCTGGCCTGGGAGAGCTCCTGGACGTTCAGGCCGTGGCTGTGGGCGTGGTGGCTGTGCTCGTGGTAGAGCGCGCGCCCTCGGGAAGAGGCAATGAAGGGGCTCTCGTATTCCGAGTCGCTCCCGACGTCGGAGCCGGCGTTGAAGGTCTCCAGGTCGATGAAGGAAGGCTTCTCCTTCCGAAAGGTCAGGATGAGCTGCTCCACAAACACGGTCATGAAGAAACCCACCAGCATGATGGTCTCAGCCAGGGGATAATCTGTGGTCACGTTCCCCAGCTTGAGGACTTCTTGGAGCTGGAACACAGGAAAAGGGCAGCTGCCGTGAAACTGGCTGCACCATTCGAAAGGACACGGGGGGAGGGGCGGGGGGGACAGACTCCTCCCTAAGTTTTACACGGTCTTAGTGGAAAGGCCGGAAGCGCAGCAGGTCCCAAGCACGGGCGCCGCCAGGATACATCCGGCGTGGGCCCGGGGGCTCTGGGATCCCGTGGCGTCGGTCTACTGGGGCAAAGTGTAATCGGCAAAGGAACGGGGACTGCCTCGTTTCACAGCGAGGAGTCTGGCGTTGAAGGCGGCCCATACGTGCGCTTAGGGACAAGGGTCAGAAGTCCCGACGAGGCCTGCAGCTGAAACGGCACCAGCTGGCAAAGCAGAGGGTTAGTCCATCGAGATGGGAGCCTCCTGAACACACTGGGAAGCTCTGGCCTATGGCACCGTTATTAGGGATGTTAAATAGCGGTTCATTGAATAGTCGAGTAACCTCATGAATTTGGATCAGTGACTCAACTCTAGTCTCTGGGAATCTGGCTGGCAGCCAGTGCGCTCCGGCCTCGCTCCTGAGGAGCCCCCTGCCAGTACCAGAGGTAGCAGTGTGGGGTGCCAGGTGGGAGCTGGTCCGCAAGGGGAGCCAGTTTAAAAACCAACTCCCCTTGTGGACCGGCTGCCTGTCGCCATGTGCTGCTGCCTCTGATAAAGAGGCAGCAGCATGCGGTGGCAGCAGCCCCTGTCCAGGGGCATGTCTAAGTTCCTGGACCCAGGGCAAGCCAAAGCTGAGCCTGGCTGCTGGGGGTGGTGGGCGGGGGGGGAGGGCAAGGGAATGCATGTAGTCTATAGCATTAACCTATAAGCTTTTGTTTATCAGTTATTCGACTACACTATTACAACCCTAACCGTTATCGTACTGAACATCTGCAAGCAGTATCATCTAAGGCCACATCTTCATTGCTGTGATCGATCTTCCGGAGTTCGACTGAGTGAGTCTAGTTGAGACTCACTGAACTGAACTCAGAGGGCGCCTCGCAAGGAGTAACGGGAGCGTTTGCTCCCGCCGGCTTCCCGCTGTGGGGAAAACCTGAAACAAGGGACGGAATGAACGTAGCTGGAGTTGCGTATCTTGAGTCGACCTTCCCTTTCACTGTAGGCCTGGCCTAAGCACAGAGGGCTTTCCCAAATCCCCATGTCAGACCTGCAAGGTCTATCAGGAGTCACTACGGCTGCAAAACAAAGCCCCAGAGAGTTTGCCCACGGCTACCTTTGCTCGTACGGCGGGGAGCAAGGCGTTGAAGCAGGTGGCCAGGAAGACCCCTCCTCCAAAGGAATTGCAGAGGGCAATGACCTTTTGGGAGCGATGAGCTTTCTCATAATCTGCTTCTATGATCTTGACGGGCAGGAGGGACCCAAGCAGCATGAGGAAAAAGACCCCCAGCAGGCACAGAACTTTGGCGGCTTTAATATTCATCTTGTCTCCTTGGGGAAGACCCCGCCAGGGACTCTTTGGAAAGTGAGTTTGTTGGCGTCCTTCAGTTACTTTAATTGTTACATCAGCATTAAGACAAGCATCCGGAGAAGCGTGGTTCCGAGGCCACCAGCTGTGGAAAGGAGCGAGAGAAATGATATTTTCCAATGCTGATAAATAGCGCTAACAGCTAATATAGCTCCTTTCATTCTAAACTTGCATTTCAGCCCATATACAGGAATTACTTCACTCCCCACTGAAATGGAGCCATCTCGAGGCTGGAGGGAAGCCAATAACCAGCGCACACAAACAGGAGTAAGCAAATAAAAGGAACAATTTTCAAAGTGAGGACACAGGCCACTTACATGATCTTCAATACTGAATACAGACAGCCTTTGTTTTAAGGCACCCTCTGAGAGACTCGGCCACCGTAAAATGCACAGAACTTAGGTACCAGTCCTGCAACTGGATCCCCATAGGCTGAACTTCATAGCCATCCAAATCCAACAGCAGCATAAGGTTTTAATTAGGCCACCCTGGAAGACTATTACATCACCTATGTAGTTATGTTGTGGAAATTACACTTTTTAAAGCCCACCATTTATGTGGTTTTCTTTTTAAATTTCACATAGCTGATCAGTTTCAGATTCTTATGCCTGTATTGCAGTGTTGCTATGGTTGGGCTGAAAATCCTGGGGCAATGTTTGGGCTGCCAGTTGTGCAGGTAAATAGCTGGATTATTTGAAGAGCTTGTTTTAATTAAATGAATACGCAGTCCCAAAGCCACAGGTATTGTTAGGTTTTGAAATATGATTATATTTGTTTGGCAAAAACCTAAACCAAACCTAAACCCTCTGTGTATCCCCCTTTAAAGGGAAGCCTTAGGCAGATATTCACTGTTTATTCTTTATTTTCTCAGAGCACAAAAAAACAAATGGGTGAAAGAACAAACAGATGGTAGCTTCACAGAAGACACAGATGTAAAACTCAAAATCCCTGGATTATGATGAACATTTTACTCTGAAACCTCAAAGATTTCCCCCCTCGCGGCATATGCAGCCAGTATTTTACAAAGCACATTACAAGAAGAAATAGGTAAAATTAAGATTAAACATTTTTAAAGGTATACTGCCATTGATGGTGTTTTCCTCGAGGTCTAGAAATTACAAAGAAGTACAATTATGATTGTAGCTGATTTCCCTTAGCTAATACACCAAACTAAATTACAAAGTCAAGTCAATGGCACATTGAAAAGTTCTCACTCATTAATCTGAACCACTTCACTTTAATGAATGAAGACAAAATGTTTGTAGCCATACCAATACTCAAACCAGTGATGGACAAGGTAGATAATCGATACCTAGTTGGACCAGCAAAAGAGACTGAAACCAAAAAAACTTTGGAGCAAAAGATTTCCCTGAGTGGTAGGTAAGAATGTTTATCATCACCCTTATTTGTGTGTATTGGTCTGGATTATTCTACACTTTGGTTAATTTAAAAAAAAATTAAATGGCTGTGGAGCTGATAAAAGGGTTTAGGGGCTATTTGTACAAATCCAACCCCAAGCCAGTAGCAACTTAAAGGGGTTACTGTCTGAGGGTTGTTTGGCAGCATGTGTGACGTGAGCTGATGGATCTCAATCAAGTTCTCAGCAGAGAGGCATGTCCAATCACGAGGAAATACCTCTCCAGCGAGTGGGACAAGTGGATCCATTTTCAAACTTAGCAGAGATGCCAAAGAGCAAACAAATGCAGAGACAGAACTCCTCTGTCGTGGTTCCAAGGTGGCCCAGGCAGGTCAGGGCTTAGGTACACTGCCAGTTAAGTTTGATCTGCCACTACCTCTGTTGTACCTGATCTGTAGCTACAGCAGCGGTATCAAACTCAATTTACCTGCGGGGCAGTGCCAGTCCTCAAATCCTCCTAGCAGGACAATAATGTTGCTGAAGATGGTGTTTGAAAAAAGTTTTCTTCTATTTTTTATTTCAAATTTCTTAGAAATAAAAAAAAAATCTGTCATACAACTTTATACAATTCCTCGCCTGCCAGAGTTTTTAGCGTTTGCCAGACTGTGATTTCAAGAAGCCATTCTCTTTTGGGACAGGCGGATTCATGAGTTTTGAACTCTTGGGGTTGGCAAAAGTACCTGCAAGTTGATTGTGTCTCCTGCTGCGTCCAGGAGTCCATATAGAAACCAAGATCCTACAAAAGACCTGCAACTGAGTCCTTCCTGACACCCCCATGTCCTTGCACCGGGATACCCCCTCCCAGTAACATGTTCATCCTCGCACTGTGATCCCCACCCGACTAGGGTAACCAAAAGTGAAACCCACCAGCCCCACTCTGCTGGCAGTGTCAGCTCAGGTGGGCTGCCTGGACCAGCGGGACCAGCATGGTTTCCTGGACTGAGCAACATACTCTGAAGCCAGGACCATGTGAGCACAGAGGGCCTGGTTGCCACTGGGAGCCATGTGCACGAGTGAGTCTCCATGCCATCCCCCACTCACCCTTCCCCAGGCCAGCAGCTGCGTGGTCCTGATTAAATACATTTTTCAAAATATTTTGCAGGCCAGATTGGGGAAGAACTCAGGCTGTAGATGGCCCACAGGCCAGGAATTGGAGACCCCTGAGCTAGAGAGAACTTTATTCCCCAGAGTTGTCAATCCAGCCAGCACAGCAAATCACCTGAGGAAAATATCTTCCCCAATGAATGTGTATCAAACCAAACTAAAGGTATCATATTCAACATTAGCAGTCTTACCTATATTGAACTACATTGAAATTAATGGGTAGCAGGTTTGAAACGAATAAAAGAAAGTTCTTCACACAGCGTGTAGTCAACCTGTGGAACTGTGAAGTCTAGGACTATAATAGAGTTTAAAGAGAAGCTAGATAATTTCATGGAGGTTAGGTCCATAAAAGACTATTAGCCAGGGGATAAAATGGTGTCCTTGGCCTCTGTTTTTCAGAGGCTGGAGAGAGATGGCAGGAGACAAATCGCTTGATCATTGTCTTCGGTCCACCCTCTCTGGGGCACCTGGTGCTGGCCACTGTCGGCAGACAGGATACTGGGCTAGAAGGACCTTTGGTCTGACCCAGTACGGCCGTTCTTATGTTCTTATATTAGCATGCATCTTAATAAGCATTAAAGGGATTCTCAGTCATCAATTTAATTAACACATTTGAAACACATACCCACTTTGCCCATCAGAACAGAACCATTGGATAAGATTCACTCCTTTTAGAACACATGCACTCTAGCTGGAAACACCTTTAGTTTCTTTGGAGCAACGTACAACCTTTTAAGAACAGTGTAGAATATTTTCCTTTCGGAGTTGCCATGGTTCTAATAGCAGAGGGGAATTACCATTTTGTAGATAATTTCTCCTGGAACAAAATCATTGGTTGTAACATTGTACCAGACTCAAAGACTGCTTTAATGCCTCCCCAAAAGGTGCATGAGATCTGGACCAGTGGTGTCTTGATAAAAGAGATAGTGACGAACAAAGTTTGACATTTTTAAAGGCTTTGCCCTCCAGGACCAAGTCATGATGATGTTTTGATCATGCTTATGTGGTCATACAAACAAGACCAACCTGGGATCTCTGAAAACACTTGGGAATGTTTCTCACAGGCAGCCTAACAAATTGGGTACAACGTGGCAAACTTAGATTGAACAGCGCTCTGCCAGAGAATGGGCACTCCGGCCTTCCCAGGTAATCAAAAATGCTGACCCAAGACAGGAGGGATGGAACCCCACTTGCATGTTGTAGCAGCAGCTGCTAGTCCCTTATTCGGGGGGCTACTCTCCGCCGAGCTTTGCTGCCTTTCCAGGACATCGTTCTGGTCAGGACACTGCACCATCCCCCTGCACCCAAAGTACGGCTGGAACGGTCTTACAGCCCTGTCAGCCTTGGGATGTGGGAGAAAATCCCACCCAGCTCACACAACTGGGCCATAGCCAGATAAAGTCACCTCTTTTTGCATCCGGCTGGCAGGGCCTGACCCCTGCCTTTGCCACCCCCCATCCCCTCAAACGGGCCCCACGGTCCCTAGTGCCAGGCTCCCCCAGCACCAAGGCTCTCGCCTGCCCAGGGTCCCAGAGAGCTGCTGGGTCTCTGCTTCCCACAGGGTCCTAGTCCCCCAAATCCTTTAAAGGCCCATCCTTAGGCTCCCCCCCACAACCTCCTCCCCCCAGGGTCCCCACCTGAGCTCCCCTCCAACCCCCTCCCCCACCTGACCCCTTCCCCCAGGG